ACAAATAATGAGTATTTATTAGCACTGAACGCATAGTATTTGTAAAGGAAATAATGAATATTAATAAGCAGTTATAAAAAAATTTCGAAATCAATTCATGTAAAATGTTATATTTGTATTCGTAAATAGGGGTGTCCAAATGGTCGGGTCGGGTTAGTCGGGTCGGTTCTACTCCAGAACCGATAGAACCGACGGATTAAAAATAGAACCGAGGACCGACCCGAGCACCTTTAGAACCGAAGGGAACCGACTTTGTCGGTTCCGTCGGGTCCTCGGTCGGGTCGGGTCCAACCCAAATTACAAAAATCAGCAAGTCAGGCCGAATAATTTTCATTCATTTACCTTTGAGCTTTCATCCTTCTGTAAAGTTTGCAAAATATGTTAAAATAGAGAGATCTTTCCTCCATCCAGACTATTATATACAGAGCCAGATTGCAAATTGTAACTAATTTATTCCAAAAATGATCAATCTCAATGATAGGTATAGAACTCGCAACTCACAAGCTTGTAAAGCACAGTGTATTTCATTCACTCTCACCACGTTATGGTAAGATGATCTCCTTATCTACATACAGCAAACCCAATATTGCAAATCACCAAAAAAAAATCTGTGTTAATAAATTTCAAAGGCACAAACAATATCAAACAGTATGAACAGAGAGAATTGCCCCTGCAATCTAAACAGAACAAGTTGCATTTGCTTTTACTTGCATTCCCATGAATTGGGCATGGATTAAAATAACTTGCTCTTAACATTGGGACCAACCATGGCGGACCCATTTCCTCTTCCTTTTCCATTCTTCCAACAGCGCTCACCTGATCATATATATATATATGCATAACCCATAAATATTCACATACAGTACATCAAAGCATAAGCAGAAGAAGAGAAATTCGATCAAAAATTGATTATTTTCTGCAAATTAACTCACAAGCTTGTAAAGTACTTAATTTCCAGAAATTGAGTTTAATTATTAAGAAAATGAGCAAAGACAAACTTTTACTAATTTACATGTCTTCGATGTCGATGTTTGGGACTCAACAGACAACACCCATACCAAATGAAACCAAAGCAATACAGTACACTGTATAATTAATAGAAAGGATTGCAAAGGTGAGGAAGTAGTAGAACCGGAGTGAAGATGGACAAGCTTACCTTGATTTTCATGGTTGTCGGCGGCGTCGGGGTTGTCCATTTCGCTTGGGATTCCCACCAAAGTCACAAGAGGAGGAGATTTTAGAGGAAAATTGGAAAAGATTTGAAGAATTTCAAAGGATTGGGGATTGGGGATTTTCGGCTTAGGGTTTAGGTTTCACTCAAATCATGCAAAGATGAAGACAAACAGAGATGAGGAAGAAGGCGCCATGAGTCCCGACCTCTGACTGTCTGTCGAGAGGCTCTGGCGTCGATCGGCTGTGACTTGAGAAACGGGAGAGGTCGGAGAAGAAGATAGGGTTTTGGGTGTGTCGAGAGAAAAGAGAGAATATTTTGATGAATTTTCTTATTTTGTTTTTGTTTTTGATGTATATATATTTTCGATATATAAAAGTATAATATTTATATATAATTAAATTATAAAATTAAAATATAAACTGATAATGTATATATATATAATATATATATATAATTTATATTTATTTTAAATAAAAACAGTGTCGGGTTCTCGGGCGGTTTCGGGTCGCGATATCGGAACCCGAATAAAAGACCGAGACACCGACTACTATGTCGGGTTGCACCGAGCAACCCGACTGCACCGTTTTACCCGACCCACCAGCCCCGAAACCGATTGAACCGATCGGGTTATTCGGGTCGGGTCGGGTATGGACACCCCTATTCGTAAATATCTGACCATACTCGTGCTGACCTGAATATGACATTTAAAATCTATTATTAATAAACTGTGGTTCCAAATGTTATTTATTTAATGTAATGAAATTGTGTTTTTTGAGTGTTAGAAATTACCTTTATGAAAGTAGAACTTCTTTGTAAACAACATTTTTCGTATATGTTCCTTTGTGTTTCTTTGTATTTTCTGACTTCACCAAAACTTTTGTCGTAGACATGGAAATTCCCCGACAGAGTGCTACATAGTTGTCCATGAGAGAAAACATTCTGCGACAAATATACTCCAACATTCGGTATCGTTTGTTATTATGTATGAATTGTCCAATCACGTTGTGATACTTCTAGATCAGAAATATTTGAATGCTTTGGAGGAGAAGATCATTTGATTCTTAACATTATTGTTGGTGAGATTTAATTTGAATAGGGTATGTAACTTGTAATTACCCCACCAAATTGTTTTTTAAAAATAGTTTGTAAAGGAAGAAAACATGTAAATGTCTTAATTCTTTTAGGGCCCAAGCCCAACTAAAGTGTAAAGTGTTATCATGAGATATCTCATGCCCTAAGCATTCTTAATTCTTGCAGAAATCACACAAATAATTGTAAAGTGTACAAAACCTGTAAATATGTCGGTGAATAATACAAAACCCAGTTCAAAAGCTGAATCTTATACCTTATCAAAAGAACAGAGCCTTTCTTACCAAATGTATATTGAACATGCAAGATTTTCATTACCAACTAAAAAATTAATCACACACATCACATAATACATTGAAAGTAAATAATACAAATTCAGAATTAAGATTAAAAATAATATACTACTCAACATGCCTGTGAATTGTAATAGTCTATTCTTAATGGTTATATGCATTTCCTTTTCTAAGGAAAAGAACATGAAAACTCCTCATAAAAAAAGGAAAAGTATAAGAAATGTAGGCTGCAAGGGCGCAACAACAATACCTCCTCGGTAGGTTCAGGTTGAGAAAAAATCTGCACAAACGGAACAAATCTCAGACAACAATCTCAGAAAAACGGATCAAATGAAAGCGACAAATAAAACAATCGACATATGATAAGGAGAAGTTTTTTAAATACTTGGAGGATGTTAAGTCAGGGAAATCAACAATTGCGGCTGGTGCATTGCTTCCCCATGAGATTATGGCCATGTTGAATGATTCAGACGGTGGGGAAGTTGCAGAGATTCAATAGAAAAGAATGGTTGATGATTTATTGAAAAAGGGGAAGCTCAGGAACTACTTTTTTCCTTTTGGCTATCAGCAGGAACTATTGGCTCGTAAACAAATTTGACAAAAACATTAAATCGATTGAGGATATGAGTTGAGAGGGAAGAGGAAGACTTATTATATAAAAAAGGGTATATATAAATAAGATGGGAGTTGACAAACTGAAGCAAACGTGAATTCTTAGCACATATTTGACTTAAATAATTGGAATAACATTGTCAAAACTTAGTAAAATATAGCCTTGTAAACTTAATCTATTCCATAAACTCCATATAATGTACCTTTTTAACAGCCGGCTCCATTTTCAACAAATCAAGCAAAGTTGTCTCGTTAATCTGTGTTTACTTCAATATTCTGTTGGTCAGGAATCAATTCCTCTTGAGCCTTATAATTAGCAACTTTTCTGACTCATACAAACACGCAAAAGATATAATCAAGTTAAACAAAATGGTGCATAATTTTTTGAAGCTGCTGATGAGCAAAGATTAACAAACAATTTCAACAATAAAGGAGCAAATATCACAACATGTTTAATTGCAAAAAAAGAGAGAAAACGGGAAAAAAAAAAGAAGAGAGAGAGAGAAAAATAAGAGTTAACTTACGGTGAGATAGCTGGAGAAGATGGGTTTTGATGAGAAAAATTTAATATATACATATATACCTAAGTAGTTTAATTTTATAAGAAGACAAAAAATGAGAAGTATAGTAATTATAAAATTTTATATCTAATTGTTTAATCCGTTTTATACATAATTAATCAAATTGAATTCTTTTAGTCCAATTCCAATAATGTATTACGGGTAGAATTTTATTAGAATTTTATTATAATAATTTTGATAATAATAGTTTTGGAAGTAATATTGAAGAGATTAATTGAGATTAAAATTGGGAGTTTGGTTGAGATTAAAAATGGTTAAGAGTTTGTCTAAAATAAAAAGATTATATAACATATTAAAAGAATTAAAATTAAAATTTGGAGTTTGGTTGAGATTAAAAATGGTTAAGAGTTTGTCTAAAATAAAAAGATTATATAACATATTAAATTAAAAGAATTAAAATATTAAATATACAATGGCATTTTAGAAATATGTTTAACAAATAAGGGTAAAATGGACAATTCAAAAGTTTTACACTTGAACGTACATTTTAATATAGTATAGATATAGATATAGTATAGATATGTCCAAAATTTTTTTTTTTTTTGAGCAAATAATAATGATATTTCATTGATGAACAAACGTTAGGAGGTAAACTCCTACACCACACTTGGTCTCCACTCAAATGAGCTAAACTATGTGCCAAAGAATTGGCTTCTCTATTGACAAATACAACCTTACAGCTATCAAAAGAGAAATCAAACCCCGAATTTCATAAATTAAATTTCCCCCTTCCCACCAAACCGGCCTTGTCTTCATAATTTCATTAACTGCAATGAGGGAATCACTCTCGATTATGCAATTAGTGATATCATGTTCCAAAGCGAACTCAAAGGCGAAAAGGATAGCATGCACTTCAGCATAAAGTGAATCAGAAACAAAGAGTAGCTGACGTGATGCACTTGCTATAATTCTTCCATTGCTGTCGCGAATTACAACCCCTAAGCCTGCTGTTAAGGTCTCTGTATTGAATCCAGCGTCGGAATTGATTTTGAACACTCCTTCTGGTGGAGGTTCCTATGCCACTCGTCGAATACTATGTGCTGGAAAAATTCTGCTTGGCTCGGCTTCCTTGATCTGCTGCATTAAATTAGAAACTGCTACAACAATATTACAGGGCATTCTACAAGTATGGTTATACAAACACTTATTCTTATTACTCCATATTTGCCATAAAGTATAGGAAACCATCTCCAGCTGGCCTATTTGAGTGGCTTTCAAAAGAAAATCCTCCCAGAAGTTAGGAGACTCAACCTACCCTTCAAGCCATGGAATCACCCTTGGACAAATCAAATCCCAAATACGAAAGCAAAGAGGGCAATTAAAGAAAATATGTAAATAGGAATGTTCCTCTTCACCACACACTGCACAATTATTATCAATCTCCACCCCGCGATATTGTAAAGCATATTTCAATGGCAAGATACCCCAACACAAACGCCACAAAAAGAAACGAACCTTAGGCAGCAATCGAGAGGACCAAATCATCCGCCATATCTGAGGCGGAGACTCCACTGGTAAGTCACCTCTTCCAAGTTCCTTGCGTGCAACAAAATAAGCAGATCTTACATTAAATTCTCCCATCTTAGAATCATTCCAAAATAGACAATCTTCTCTTGGAATCCTTGGTATTGGAAGGCATAAAATTCGAACAACATCCTCTGCAGAAAACAACTCCTGGAGTTTATCAGCATCCCAACAATGTTCATCATCATCTATAAGATCAGCAACACAAACTGGATTACTAGAAATCTCAATCCCATGTCTCGGCGTTGGTTTATAGTCATGAGGATTATTAATCCAACGATCATGCCAAGCATCTAATTGACCAAAACCAACTCTGCGTCGACTACCTGCTTCCAAGATCTTCCTACCAGCAAGGAGGTTGCGCCAAAGAAAGGATGGGTTACTGCCTAACCTAGCTGACATAAATCTGGATGTGGGGAAGTATTTAGCCTTTAGTACCCGAAAGCACAAAGAATCTGTATTTTGGGACAGACGCCAGCACTGCTTGGCTAATAAGGCCAAATTAAATGTTTCAAAGTCCTTGAAGCCCAATCCACCGTCAGCTTTAGATACACACAAAGAGTCCCATGCCTTCCAATGAATACGCCTATGAGATCCAGTTAAACCCCACCAATAATTGGAAATAATAGAATTAAGCTCATGTACAAAACCTTTGGGAAAAAGAAATACGCTCATCAAATAAACAGGAATAGCTTGAGCAATGGATTGTATCATAATAGCCTTCCCTGCTATAGAGAATAGCTTACTATGCCAACTATTAACACGACGGAAAAGTTTATCTTTGATAAATTGCAGCTCTCCCCATCTAATCCTCTCTGAATTCCCAAACGTTGCATAATAGCCATCCTGAGCTCAACCGAAGTATTCTTACTAAAAAGAATTGAAGATTTGTCAATGTTAATTTTCTGTCCTGATGCAGCTTCAAAATCTCCCAAGATCTTTAAAACAATGTCACATTCCAGTAATCTAGCCCTTAAGAACAAGATGCTATCATCTGCAAAAAATAAATGAGAAACACTCGGTGCATGCCTAGCAATCGAAACGCCACTAAGACCACCAACTGAAGCAGCATTTGAAATCATCTTCGACAATGCCTCCATGCATAATAGGAAAAGATAAGGCGAAAGTGGGTCTCCCTGTCGAATTCCCCTCGATGGATAGATACAATCACTCTGATTACCGTTAATTAAAACGGAATATGAAACACTTCTCACCCCAGTCATTACCAAATGAATCCACCGCGCAGAAAAACCCAACCTCCGCATACATTCTGCCAAGAATTTCCATTCAATTTGATCATAGGCTTTGCTTAAATCCAACTTCAAAGCCATATGTGCTTTTCTACCAACCCTCTTATTTTGCATAAAATGAATAGTTTCAAACGGAATCATTGCATTATCATAGATCATACGATCAGGAACAAATGCGCTCTGACTATCCCCAATCAAATTTGGCAAGACTAATTTCAACCGATTTGCCAGAGCTTTAGAAATAATTTTAAAGAGGACATTGCAAAGACTAATGGGTCTATAGTCTTTGGCTGAACTTGGCGAAGCATTCTTAGGAATTAAACAGATATTGGTATGATTAATGGAAGGCAAGGGCTCTCCGTTATTCAGAAAATCCAAACAAAAAGAAGCAACATCCTTACCTATCAATCCCCAACACTGTTGAAAAAAAGTTTGTGTCATTCCATCAGGTCCCGGAGCCTTGTCTCCCTCCATCTGAAAAACAGCATCTTTAATTTCCTCAAACGTGAAATCGGTATCAAGCATAAGTCCCTGTTCATCATCAATTCTTCTCTCCAATAAACTAGCAATCGAACGAACATTATCCCAATTTGGATTAGTCGATGAAAAGATATTCTTAAAGTAGCCCTCAATAATCCTTTCAATGCTTTTAGCATCCGAGAAGCAAACACCATTCTCATCCTGAATCGAAGAAATTATACACCTTTGTCGACGAGAAGAAGCCACTGTATGAAAATAACCCGTATTCCGGTCTCCATCCCGTAGCCAAAGGGATTTCGATCGTTGGCACCACATCACTTCCTCTTGCTGCAATAGATTATTCAATTCCTTTTGACAAAAATCTAAATCCGAACTATCCCCACCTGCCATCCCTTACCGATACAGACTCTCAAACTCCTGATGCTTTAACTTAATTCTCTGTTTAATATTACCAAAAGTATTCTGATCCCATTCCAATAATGCTTTACCACAGGCAAGAATTTTCTCGGGAACAGAAGCACCAGAATTAGACACCCAAGACCTCTCAACAATTCGATAGAAATCAGGGTGGTGACACCACATTCGTTCAAAACGAAACTGCCGATACTTAGGAATAAAGATTGGAGACTTATCTGTAATTGAAAGGAGGAGAGGAAGATGGTCAAAAGCTGATGAAACGATATGCTCCTCATGAGATTCTCCAAATCGCTACCACCAATAATAGTTTGCCATTGCTCTATCAAGCCGCTCATAAACCATGTTACCTCCAATTCGTCTTCTCCAAGTCATCATAGGTCCTCGAACCGGCAGCTCCCGCAAGCTACAATCTGAAATTGCTTCCAAGAACGCACTCATCTGTCGTTGAAGACGCAAGGCACCTCCCACCTTCTCCAAATTTGAAATAATCTCATTGAAGTCCCCTGAACATAGCCAAGGGAGTTGAGATCTAGTATTCAACCTGCGCAGTAGATTCCAAGATTCCATTCGTAGTTGGGTTTCTGGTCTTCCATAGAAACCAGTGAATCGCCAACTATCATTCAAACTAACACCTATTTGTGCATCAATATGATATTGAGAATAAGAAAGAACATAAATAGGCAAATCCTTGATCCACAACAAAGCCAAACCCCCAGCTCTACCATTACACTCCACTGTTAAGCAATTCTCAAAACCCAACCTATAACGAACCCAATCCATTTCAGTTTTATTAAATTTTGTTTCAGAAAGAAACAATAAACAGGGCTTATTACAACGAACTAGTTTTACTAAAGCATGAATTGATCGAGGCGCCTCGAGACCTCGACAATTCCAAACTAAAAAATTCATTGCTTCCGGCAGAGATGGCTCTCCTTGGCCATCCCCGCCGATACAAGTACATTAGAATTATTGTTTGCAGGTAGGTTAATAGGATCACCATTATCTTCACGTCCTGCTTCCGATGCCACTGGCTCACCTGTTCCAGCCTCGTCCTGAAGGTCTGCAACAATTGTCTCTCGAGTTCTCTTAAACGCACCAGACTCGACAGCCTCATGACAGTGACCAGTTGTACCCCTCTTCCGCCCATCTTTAAGATTTGAAGGAGAAGCAAGAGCATCAAACGTGTACTTCGAACTCACCCGAGCCGCCTTTTTCCACTTCCTGGGTTTCTTATTATCTGCAGGAGAGTTTAGGCCAAAAACAAAAGGCGAGATTGCAGCCATCTCATGTAATAGCCTTTGAGCATCAGCATTTGGGCTAGCAGCTCCAGCTGGATCAGTACCAGTCTTAATTGGGTTGCATGCACTAGGCAGCCCACTATCCACCCTAGCAGGTTTCAACGTTGGGCCCAAAGAAGCAGGCCCAACTCCAGGAATAGTCAAACCCGGTCATACAGCTGGTGGAACATCATCTCTAACTTCTTGGCAGACATCCGCAGGAGATGGCGATTCATCAGTTCCCTCAATCAAGACATTCTCAGAGCAAATCAAATTTTCAGTTGCCAAGACGCTCAACCCCTTATTTTTCGCAACCAATCCCTTGTTTCCCGTAACCACCTTCACGATCTCCACTGAATCATCCTCGTCCCCAATATCCTCGGAAGCACTCATAACGGCTTTTCCTTTCCAAGTCCTGGCCTGAGTATTGAAGCGGCGCTCCGCTAACCATGCCGGCATCTTGCTCACCTGACGGCTACTCAAACGACGACCATCGGAAAAGGAATTTGTCGGCACAGTATGCTTCCCAAGTCGAAACTGTCCTGATCCCTGAAGGCCATCGCCTAGAAATTGGGCATTCCCACTCAAAGCTTCAACCTGTTTCAAACCTGTCCCGGTGCCCTTCACCAGCAAATGAGCTTTTTCCCCATCATGGATACGGACCTTAGAGATCAATTCACATGACATGGTATCATCCTCAATGGCCCGCTGCACTGCTTTCCCTTTTAAAGCCAGGCTGTCTATATAATTTCTACCAGAAGCTTGCGATCGTTGATGAACCGATTCAGGCGACAAAGGAGACCGAAAAGTCCCTTGTAGTGTAGCTTCCCCATTGAGCCTAGAGGACTTAAGAGTAGGCGATTCTGCTTTCAAATCTGCTGTATAATTCTTCACCGCAACTCCTTGAGTCTTACGTATTGCAACCGACAGAGGACGGTCGGTATCAAGATGATCAAACAAACCACAGATCCTGCAATAGGCAGCCATATTCTCATATTTAAAAACAATTTCTAACTCACCATCAGGCAAAGAGAGAGTAGTTCCTTGCTGCACAGGCATAGAAAGATCAAGATTCACTCGTAATCGGAGATACCGTCCCGACTCCAGATCGATCTCAAGTACTTTGCCAATTGATTCCCCAATTACGAACCCGATATCTTCAGTCATTAATCCAATCGGGAGATCAGGGATCCTGATCCAAAAGGGACAAGTTGTAAATTGAACCGTCTGTGGCAATTGAAAACCATCATACTCCATTAAAGGTAGCAAAAAATTCTTAAACTGCCATGGTTGCGACACAAAAACTCTGTCCTTCTCATACTCATCTTCAAATTGGAATAGATACAACCTATCCCCTACTTCCTTCATTGTCAATTCCTTTTCCAATTTCCAGGCTTGGAAAAGGCCATTCCTCATACCTCTAGATGGGCAGACCGTTTCGAAAATAGTTTGCCAAGAAGGTAAAAAACCTTCACACCCTTCTTTCCCCCTTTCAGCAACGCCGCATCAATAACAACCTTCTCTTTCTCACCTCCTTGGATTGATAGTTTTGAGCACAGATTTGAGAGAGATTTACCAGCCATATCAACGGGAAAAAAAGAAGGAAGAAGAGAAATTGCCAAACAAAGATTAGGACACAGGAAGCCAAGCCAGAAATCGAGCCAACAGTACCAAAACAAGGAAGATGAAATAGGAATATAAATAAGAAAAACCTTATCCTGAGGGACAATTTGAAATTCAAAAATTGAAAACATATTAGAAAACCGATATGCAACAGAAAGATCCTCTGAAGAGTCAAAGAGATACTCCAAGGCAAGAACCCCAGGAAGGGGAGAGACCCCATTAAGGGGAAGAGCCCCATGAAAGGGAAGTAAAAAAGCCCCGCCAGGGGGAAGGAAGGAAGGAGAAGGAATCGCCAAGGAGAAGACAATTTGTCTTCATAGATATTGTTTATCCGCATAGATATGTCCAATTTTATTCATTAATCTTTTTGAAAATGATATAAATACTTTTAAATTAGTTTGGTATAGGTACCATACCACAGCGAAAAATAATCCAACGGCAACTCAGGCAAGAACCCTAGTATATATTACAAATAAGATTGCTATTTTCTTAAGAATTTTTAAAAGAACCCTAGTATATAGTACAAATAAGATTGCTATTTTCTTAAGAATTTTTAAAATTATCTATATCTATACTAATTATAATGTCAAAACCTGAGTTTGTCTTACGAGTTGACTCGGAGACAAACTCAGTTTTTTAAAAGTTCAAAATAAAATAAAAACTACCCATTTTAGATAAAAACTACCCATTATACCCATTTTAGATAAAAAATACCCATTATAGGATAAATATAATATTTAAATTTATTTATATCATTTTAAAGAAACTACCTATTGAAAAAATAAATAAATAAACGGTCATAAACCGCTCACGTAGTGAGTGCCCTATATCTTGTATTAATAAAGTAAAAAACTTAGATATATAAAGATCTTACACCCACCATATGATATTACCAATATTTAAAGAATAATCACATTACTTTATAGTTTATCCACAATTCAAATAATTAAAAAATTGAAATAAACTGTAAAAAAATTACATGCTTTATGCATCCTATATGGCGTGGATGCAGTTTGTCCACATAGGATGCCATATCATCACTCTCTCCTCTCTCGGGTGGATCAAGCCCACCCAAACAAAGCAAACAGACTTAATTACCAAGAAAAAAATTAATTATATTTCTTCACTCTTATATAAACATCTATAAAAACACTGCAAATTGAACGGTTTGTTATATACTACTACATCTTAGCATTTCTAAGAGCTGCTCAAAATTGAACCAAAAACTTCCTCATTTTCTCATCTCTTTTGGAAGTTGAAGCATTTAATAGAATAAGCAAAGACGAAGAAGAATACCAAGACCCAAGCAACATGGCCAAGCACAATATATTTAAGGAAATCCTCATCAAATCCCAATATATCCTTAAGGAATCTATTCACTGCCATTTTATCACCGCTGGATAGTGTGACATCCTCGACCTTGTCTCCAATTTGAGATGTGAAAATGCCATAAATTGTCCAAGCAACTGGAGAACCCCAGTAATACCACCTCCACCATATAGGTATTAGCTGCATTCATTTCAGAAGAAATGTTCAGATTTATCAGAAACATGAGAAGCTGCAAGGACAAGAACTTATGTTTCATGAAACATCATGTTGTCTTAGAATTGTTGCAACTAAACATCATTGATGGACTAATATTTGATGCAAACCTTTGTTTGGTTATGATGGGTAATTTTGTGTTAGAACATTTTTAACTATAATGTCATGCATGGCAATGGACAACTAGAATTATTGTGCTGATGTACATACCGGTCTAGGGACGAGGAAACCGGAGAATAAGTTCCAGAAGCTGAGCAAAAAGGATGAAACAATTGCCGCGATTTGATGACCAGGAGTAAGGGCAACAACCATCATCCCGTACATTGACATGTAGGTGAAACACATGAATATGAAGTAGTAGAAATAGAAGAATTTGTCTGCTTGCCATTCGTATCCGATCATCGAGTACAGAAGAAGAGAATACATAAGGGTCTGGAATGCAACATAAATTGTCTCTATAGCCACCTGGAAGAACAGAGGAGAGTATACAGATTAATGTGAGAAAGAGTACACTTTTGATCTAACATTTCACCTGTAAGAGTTAAAATTGAAACCACCAAAATGTAATCTGATCTCCTATCTCACCTGAGCAAAAGCATAAGGTAATTCTGAGTACATCCCGGCTGCTCTTTCGCGGTAGAAGACTGTCCTTTCAATTGACACAACAGACTGCACAGAAGTAGCATTGGTAGCTCCTAGGAACAGAACAGCAGCGTAGGTAGCTCCTAGAAGATTCATAAGGTCCTGTTGTTGATTTCTGTCACCAGAAAGCAAAAGGTCATGTAAGAATGAAATTATACTATTGGGTTTGGGTTGCTTTTCTCTGCTCCATATTGAATTATAGCCCTGTATAAGATAAATCTATGACTTACATCTTGTCTCCTTTGTTCCAGAAGATGACACCAAACAAAATACCAATGATGATTGTCATAAACATTCGGACAGCATTATACTGGGAGTTCCTCCAGTATGACCAGTACTGTTTCCAGAAACAGGCCTTGCATTGTGTTACAAAGCTTTGGGAATATTTAGTGGGGAAGTAAAGGTCCTTGGAACCCGGTTGTGGAGAGCTGAGTTCTTTTATGAGTTCTTGATTTCTCCTGCAAAAGTAAGAATGATGTAAAGAGAAAGGTCAATATCCAAAACAGAAGGATTAATGAGGACTTTTTGAAAGGAAAAAAAGATTGTCTAGTGGTATACTTACCGATTTAAGTCAGAGTTGGCGTAAATTTCAGCAAAATCAACCTCAAGCTGACCCTCAACTGTAGTGGAAGTGACATCCAACATCCAAGTAGCAGGATTATAGCCTTCTTTGATCTTGGGAACCCCAGGAACAGCCTGCAAATATTTTAGATGTTAATAAAGCAGTAAATTTGAAAATATAAATCTTGGAAGAATTTTCAGAAGAAACTAGCATTGGTAGTGATGTATAAATCCTGACCACTAGAATTTTATAGTTAAGGCTTAAAGCCAAGCAGAAATCCACTATGAAAAGAGAACACACCTCAAAATATTCAACAAGTTTGTGAGACTGGCGGCCAAGAGCTCCAGCATATATAACTTGTCCTCCTCTTTTCATCAATAAAAGCTGCAGCAGGGAAAAATTATCATGAAATATGGCTCATCAATTATGACCTACCGAAAATGCATATATACGAACATTATGCATTGTACATGTTTGAAATTAGACAATACCTCATCAAATGCCTCAAAAATATCAATACTCGGTTGATGAATTGTGCATACTACAGTTCTTCCTGTATCCACCGTGTTCCTTACAGTACGCATAACAATTGCAGCAGCTCTAGCATCGAGGCCTGATGTTGGCTCATCCATAAAGATGATAGAAGGATTAGCGACCAATTCTACTGCAATGGTTAGCCTCTTTCTCTGCTCAGTTGAAAGACCATTTACTCCCGGAAGTCCAACCAAAGCATGTCTCAAAGGGTTAAGCTCAATCAAGTCCATCACTTCCTCAACAAACATCTGTCAAAAAGAATGGCACATTAGTCACATTAACCAACAGGCTAAGTATTCATAGATAATAATAAAACAAAATTTACAGAAGCAACTTTTGCATAGGCACTGCATACATTTCGTGTTTCCTTCTTCACATCTGAGGCCAGACGCAACCAGGCAGAGTATAACAGTGATTCATAGACGGTAACATGAGGTGAATGGATGTCATTCTGTTCACAGTAACCACTGACACGAGCAAAAGTTGCTTGGTTCTTTGGGTAACCTGAAATGCTTATACTTCCTTCAATGTATCCACCGGTCTTTCTTCCAGCTAAGACATCCATCAAGGTTGTCTTTCCCGCCCCACTAACACCCACCAATGCAGTCAGAATACCTGGCCTGAAAGCACCACTCACATCTCTCAGCAGTTGTAATCGACTTTCTTCAATCCCTTGATTCTTCATTTCCTGGAAAGTCCAAGAATTAATCAGTCTATTAGTGTCTGTTATGTAACGTAGCCACCTAGATTATAAGTATGTGAAGAAGATGCTGAAAATACTAATCCTTAAAGAGAGGAACTCACTTCTGGCATATCAACATAGTAATTCACATGGTTAAAAGCAAGTGAAAGTGGCTGGAAAGGTAAAACCATTCCCTTTTTGGATTGGTTGTTTGTAACACTAACAATGGAGCCGTTACTCGCGTGAGCATTTCTCACTGGCATATCAATCCCTGTAAAAACAATTAAATTTTGCAGGTTTATCATGATAGAAACACAGAGATGGAAAACAAATGCTGCATCAATGATTATAGAGAATAACAAGAATCTCTTTTCTAAGAGCGCCCTTTCTTGTAAGCATGCTGTGTGCTCAAAGTATATCATATTGACAATCACTAACCTTCTCCATTGGAGGTAATCTGCCTCTTGCGCTCTTTTTCCGAGTCATCATCTGAGATTGTAGGTCTTGAATCTCCCAGAGCTGAAATTGAGAAAAAAAAAACAACAAGAGTTCAGTTTATCATTTCTTTGCATAAATATAGTTATCATTATACTAGTAGGAAAATTGAACTTACGATTCAAATATGTGAGTGCTGCAATGAACAGAAGATTGAAAAGAAGAGAAAACCCAGCAAGTGCACCAATACAGATCCAATACCAATGTTCTTCAGTGTATAGGCCTCTTTCCTTGAGAAGTGTCTTTCCAACGGTGGAGTTGAGGAGAGGCTGCACCAAAGACATTAGAATCGCTTAGTATTATATAGTTGAGCAATGATTCATAATCTAAATTGAATGCTTCTCTAATGGGGTGTACCGTGCTCCATCTGTCAGCAAGGAACTCATTGATAGCGATGGCATTTTGTCCATACATCATGGGAGAGACATAATAACCCCATATCATCCATGGTTCAATGGCATCTGTATGAGAAAAAGAGTGTTCATCTTACTTTTATTGATTACTATGAGACAAGAAAATCCAACCTTGAAAACTAGAATGTGTAAATCATCAAATGAAGAAGTTCGATTAACAAGGAAATGAACTCAATTAAACAGGCAAAGAATTTTTTACCTTTGGCTACAATGAAACCTCCCAGCACAAATACCAATAGCAAGGTAAAGGTGCCAAGGGTGTTTGCAACCACCTCTGTTCTGCCTAATGCAGCGATGAAACGGAATAGGGAGAGAGCCATTTGATTAACACCAAAGAACGCTAAGAACTGTTTGAAGAACCTGAAAATGTGATAAATCTGTCAACTTCAGAACCTGTATTACTTCTTATGCATTATTGCATTCTACTATGATATTAGAATTTAAGAATCTTAGGCTATGCAATTAAAACATTTACTTACCTACTAGCACCAGGTGCAAACCCAATAGTGTAATATGTAAGAATTATCCAAATCCCAGATTCAACCAAGGAGACAGGAATTCTTGTGAGCCAAATAGGGAGGGCAAATGCCCATGCAGGGTAGAACATGCTGTCCCTCTGCTTAAAGAAGACAGGAAGCCTGAAAACTGTCATTGCGAGCTCAGTCATCCCATTAAACATAACGTTAATGAGACTGAAAAACAATGCTCCCCAAAATTTTGCTGAATCCTCTAATTGGCCAGCTTTCATTTCTGTTCTCAAGAACACTGTCAAGGCAATTATCGCCATAACTGTCAGCTGGAAGACCTTGAAAATGTAGAGGAAGGTGCTGCGCTTCATTAGAAGCCATTCCCTGGAAAGACAAGCCTTGAATAGGTCATTGTTGGAAATACCATACTTCTCTGTCACCAAAGCAGCTGGATGACTTTTTGATTTATCAAAAGGAACTCTAAGTTCTTCTGAAAGCTGTTGGCCAATGTGAAAGGAGTTGAAGGCTTGTGCAAATTCAGGTGCGGAGACATATCTGTAAGGTCGGTTCTGTCGAACCCAGTATTGTTCTTGGTCCTTTCTGGAGGTTACTTCCTGCAGAAAGTCTGCAACACCTTTCCTTTCCGGACATTTGAATCCCATAGATTCAAAGAACTCAAGAACATTCTCACGAGGACCTTGGTAGACAATTTGACCCTCAGAAAGTAGCATAATGTCATCAAATAGATCAAATGTCTCAGGTGCAGGTTGCAAGAGTGAAATGATCATAGTTATATCCATGATATGAACCATCTGCTTCATAAATTTGACAATTTGAAATGTGGTGGAACTATCTAACCCTGTTGATATCTCATCCATGAAAAATGCTTTTGCTGGCCCAACCAACATTTCTCCTGCACTCAGACAAGCAATGTAAGTTAAGGTTTTGAGAAAAAAATTATGGAAGTTTTGAACTGATCCATATTTATAATGAATGCATTTGCAATATAAACACATATATACCAGTTGTGACACGCTTCTTTTGTCCGCCAGAGATGCCTCTTCTCATATCATCTCCCACCAAAATATCAGCACATATATCCAGTCCAAGTATCTGTTATAAACCCATGAGATGATTAGGTTTTTATGTAGAAGAATTTAGAGGAAAGACATGACATCAAGATAAAGGTAACAGACCTTGAGAACATAGTCTGTAATCAAACTAGTTTCTTGGCCAGCCATTGCTGTAGCTTTCATAAATGCATCAATCTCCGGATCTGGCTTAATTCCTGCTTCCTTCTCTCTTCTTGATAGCTCTGCCAACATTTCATACCTTGTTCCCACTCCCAAACAACGTCCTGCGAAATCTAATGTCTCACGAACGGTCATCTCACCATTGTGAAGATCATGCTGGCTAATATAAGCACTTGTTCTCTGGGGTATAAATTCCGTAAACTCATGACCGCAGTAGGTGACTTTGCCAGATATCTGTTAATATCTACAATCAATCATTGAATGGAGATAGGATGGAAAAGTTAAAAGAATATATGTCTAGTACAAACAAACCCTTAGATCATCCTTTGCTTTCCCGGCTAGTGTTTGCAACAGTGTTGTTTTTCCTGAGGCAGGAGGCCCAAGAAGCAGTGTCATCCTGAAGTAAATTGAAACAAAAATCATATGAAATCAGTTCCGAGAAAGATATAGTAACATTTATGGATTAAGTTTTGATTTGTAAGATTGTACCTTGATGGTTTTAGTACTCCACTCACACCTTGAAGGATCTTGATAACCCTTTTCTTTGAGGGGGTGAGTCCAACATATCCCAGAGTTGCCTACTCATGTTTATAATTGTAAGAACAATCAAAATTGTCAGAACTCAGATGTTATAAGGAGAAGACAAGACAATCAGATAAGGATTTGTTTTCTCATTTCAAGGATATAAACGTTCATTAACATTGAATTTTCAGTAGAAAACAAAAGATTAGTACCTCGACAGCATTTAATGTCGAATTGATCAAAGTTGGAAGTGCTCTAGTCCCAACAAAAGCATCTCCCTCAACTGATAAATTCTGAAATCTAACTTCAATCTTAGGAACCTCAATTCCCACCCTGTTTCCAACAAAAGAAACAAGCTGTAAGGTTCACATGCAATGTTCCTTTCCTTTCCTTGATATTCTCATGCATGAAATGAAATATTGCAGCTAAGGAAAAAAGAAAAAACTCATAGTAGATAAAAGGTTAAGGTAAATAACCTGTCAATTCTGTTCCTTAATCTTGTCAAGAACCTCTCATTATCTTCCTCAACAACCTTAAGTATGCTATCCATTAACTGTTTCTTGGCTTGGGGTCCAAGGTTTGTAACATCAACCTCATCACGCATAACATTCCCGGTGCTGGTGACCTGCGTCAACATTCCTTTCCTCAGCCTGTCATAAGTTGGCAACCTCTCTATTGCAGCCCATCTTAGCTCTTCTTCATCATTAAATTCCGGCTGTCTGCTACTCCTTTGAAACACATCCGGCGCATTAAACATTTCCCTAACACTCGAGGCACGCCAGCTCATCTTGCTACTCATGCTCCTCCTGCTACTCATACTTGCCTGCCGCGACAAGTCTTCTGCGGCCAATGCAGCCGCCATGTTTGCAACTCTCTTAACGTTCTTCTAACAACAAATATTAACAGATTATGTAATGATAAAAAATGAATGATTGTTGGAAGAGCTGAGTATATAAACTTAAAGGCCAATATATGCAACTTTCAAAGATAAACCAAACAATTATTGAATCAGGATGCCTCCTGGAGAGAAAAAGCTGAAGCGAGTGATATTCCTATTTCCTAGTATGCTTATATGGGGGAGTTTGAAGATTAAGAGACAAAAAAATATCGCATGTGACAAGAAATTTCTGTTTTCTTATTGTTATTGTTGGTCAAAAACTGATCACTTTGAAGTTATTTTTTTAATGTTTTTTCATTGTCCAGCATTAACTTTTTGCAAAAAGTTCAACGTGTTGTAACTAATAACGTGCTTTGCATTTGCTTATATGATTAACTAAAAATAAAAACCCCGTATGGTTTACGCGGAGTATATATAATAATATAATAATTATTAATTATTGAACTGAGGGGGCCAGCAGGGGTAAACAAATGAAATTATTTGTTCTCCTTTGCTGACCAAAACATGAAGAAAAAAACACTTTTTTTTAAAGATTAAAGTAACATTTCCTCAAGACTGAGGATGCTTCTTTCGAAGGACAAATTCTGGTTGTTTATGAGACTATTTTTTTATTCAAAACTTAATTAGAACATGTCAAATTAAATTATCCATTTTTTTAATTTTTTTGTTTTGTTTTGTCACTTCTGACAATTAAATCTACACAAGAGGGGGGAATTTTTCATGTAAAGTGAAATTAGTAAGTTCATTCCAGTTGTGGACCGACCGACTTTGTCTAACCTGATTAGGAGAAAATGCCAAGAAAATTGTTGCCTGACTTTCTGGTATGAAAGAAAAGAAATTTGAATCGTCAGTTTACTTTCAACCCACTTCTAGAAACAGAGTTGGCAAGAAAATTGTATCATTTTCACAGTTGTCATTTTTTTTAAAATTCATTATTTCATACAACTTAGCCTAAAAATCTTGACGAATTCTATGCAATGGTAAGTTGGAAACAAAACAAATTGATTTAACATATATACAAAAAGAAATGGATCATGAAAACATTTAAGAGAACTAGAAAACTGATCTTTTGCGACGGACATTCTTAGCTACGGACAAATCCGTAGCTGATAAGCATCAACAGCTACAGACTTTGCTACGGAATAGCGAATGAAACAAGGATAACAAAATTTCACCCAATTTCTTCAATTGCTACACGACATAGCTACGGCAGTTGCTACGGCAAAGCAACGGAATCGAAAATCCGTAGCAAAGGCCGTAGCAATTTGTTGCGCGGGAAACTATAAATTGGCGGCATTCCTTTTTTCTTTTGTTGAAAACTTTGGCTACTGAGGCGTAGCTATGAACTTACTACGGATTCTATTATAAGCAATATCTGCTACGGACGTAGCTACAACTTTGCTACGGACTTCTTATAAATTAAAATTAATAGAGGACGGAAGAGTTAAACAGAAACAAAATTGAAATAAAAAATTATTGTAAGTTAAAAAGTTATAAATTGTTTGCCGTAGCTAAGCCTTTTGTCTGTAGCGAATAACAATTTAGTGTCCGTAGCTAAGCCTTGAACCCTAAAAACACCTAGACAAGGTCATTTTTTCCTTAGTTCATTTCTTTCTTCTCTCGACTGGCGCAGCCTTTCTCACAAAACCTCCTTTCACCCAAACCCTCACTTGTGGCTTTGATTCTTTCTTACATGATGAAAATTCTAGAAATTTGTCTTTGATTCTTTTCGTATGATCGAAGTTGCTTCTTCCGCCACCACATTGCAGATTAAAGGGTTTTGCCGCCGCTCTTAGGGTTTCGCCTCCCTTCTCCCTGTCTTCACTTCTTTATCGAAAATCTCTTTGATTTTTGTTGGGTTTATGTTTTATTTGGCTTTGGGTGCCATTACTAATTATCTAATTTCTTTAATTGACTTAACTTTTTCAATTTTTTCCCACCAGGTTGCAGAACCCATTGTAATTAGAAGCGCAAAAAATTTCAAGAAGAAAATTCTCCTATACTCTCTCACCATCGGTAATTCCCTCTTATTGCTCTCATTTTGTTACTTGGCTTGAGAAGTAGTTTTATTTCTGTTTTTGCTTAAGAAAAAACATGTTTACATTAAAGTTTTGAGTGAAATTTCAATATTTTTGTATATCTAAGTTTATGAGTTCTGAAACTTATTTGAGTTCTCTATTGGTTATAAATGGGGAGAGTAGTTAGAGATCTGGGTTTTTATTTTGGGATCATTTATTTAACCCTAGTTTCAAACTAAAAAAAATTACAATTGTGCCAATGGATCTTTCATTCGTATGCTGAACCTAATTCCTATTTCCTAATGACCTCCCTTGCTGGCTGCTTCTTTTCTCTCAATTTTATATAATTTCTATGCAGAGATCAATAAATGGAAGTATGTGGTTGTTAAATTTGGATCTAATTCTCACTCCCTTGGGGCTTTGAGTTTAGGAGTTGCATAGTCGCATCACAAATATTCATTTTTGCACTAGGAGTTGCATAGTTGCAACCTTGCTTGGGTATTCAGATTTTGGTAAAACCTGTCTCAGTATTCCAGTTTTTCAAATATTCACTTTTTAATAAAATTTTGAATCCTTGTGTGAGCACTAAATGTATGGGAAGATCTCCATCAAACTGAATACCTTTTTGAGTTACTAAGCTTGGGATTTGCTAGACTGTGTAGATGGACTTTAGGTAGTAACTAGGAAGAGTCTTCTTATGCAGGTTTTTATATATTCATTGTTGTAAATACTGTTGAAGATTCATTGTTGTGTGTATAATTATTTCAAAGGACAGGACCATAGATATGATGTGGTGGGAAGAACCTATGTAATAATTCTCGTTCTTCGGGAGGATGGATACCTTTTTCCATGTGCTTCTGAGCCAATGATCATGTTACTTAAAAATTAGGAAAGTGTTTGTTGAACTTGATCATCAAAAAAGGTTTCCATAGGTCTCATCTTGCATCCTCCTTGCCAAGCAAACTTGATTCTTTCAATAATATCATTTCATTTTTCAAGTAAAGCAGTCTGCTATTTAGATTCCTCTTCTATTAATCTGTTTTTATTAGTGGGTTTATGCATCGAAAAAAAAAACATGTTTAGATATATAAAAACAAAACACTCTAGAAAATTATTGTTATTAGTAGAAATAAAAAAAAAATTCAGTGGAATGTTAAAGAAAGAATAGTATTTTTTGTACAGTGAATAGTTATAGTTATGATGAAGTTCAATGGAGCAAATCATGAGCAAGAGTTAATGCTCATATGAAACTTTGATTATAATGGGTGAAATTATAAGGTTAGTATCTGCCTTTTCTTTCGGTGCAATATGTACTCTTCATTTAAGACCCTTTGATGATGTTAAATGCCATTATTGGCAACAAATGGACCCCACGTCCACTTTGTTCTATCTTAGTACATAACTTGAATTGGGGATGACCATATAGGAGCTATAGCATATACTAGACTTTTTAGTAGAATATATATATATATATATATATGTATATATGTATATGTATATATGTATGTATGTATATATATATATATATACACTCACATAGTCAAAAGCAAGATTTTATTGTTGTTTTTAGCTTTCTCGTATCTATATGTGTTTTAATTGGATTTCACATTCTTAAGAGCCACATATAGCTTTCAACACTGATATGTTTCATTTTTCAACTTTGATATATCATAATTCATAAAACTTCATGACTGGAATCATTATTCTTTAGAAGAAAAAAATGTAGATTGTTAAAAGTTTAAGTATGTTTTGCTCTACAAACTTTGTGGTTAGACATAGTTGTTGGTTTAAATTAGTTGACTTTGCTAACTGACTCTCTTGATTTAAATTAAATTGGTAGGAATCCATTGAATTGGGATAGAAGCTCTGACATTTCTATTTATTGGGGCTGCAAAGAGGCAACATAACTTTTGATTTGCAGCAAAAAAATATATTTTAAACTCACAAAAGTGCAACGGTAATTTTTTATAACTTATTGAAGTTTATGGTTACATATGTGTATCTTAGATTTTTTTTTGTCTCTTATTGTTTCATTTAATTGATTAAATAGAAGGTCTGATTATACATGGTTTATTCTAGATTTTGAACATGTCGAACCATCGTTCATGAGTGCTGATTTGTGGATTCCAAATCAAAAAGAGTCTGTGTAAGTATTTCATGAATTTTAATGTTGATATGAAGTATGCTTC